GTCCATATATAGCGACCGGATTTAATGCCACCCACGTAGCCAATCAGCGACGAGTCGAACGTCAAGCGACCCCAAATCTTCATTTGGCTTTCGACCTCATGCAGCTCCAAGCGTCTGTCCTCTCGGCGCTGGCGCTGGCCGCGCACGCCTACACGACGCTGCCCTTTGACGGCTGGTACGCGTGCAACATGAACTCGATCGGCAGCGGCTACAGCATGGCGCAGATGGCGGCGACCAAGAGCCACCTGCCGCGCGTGCATCTAGAGGCCGACGCCTTTGGCCAGCGCCGCCTCGACGCCACGACGGGCTACGAGTGCGGGCAGTTTGAGCTCCCGCTGTGCCACAAGGAGGTGTGCACCGACCCGCGCGGCCAGACCATCGATGTCTTTGTCAAGCGAAAGCTGGCCAACCCGGCCAAGGTCACCATTGGCACCGAGAAGGTGTTGTGGGTGCTCCAAGGTGGCCCGGGTGACTCGTCCACCGCCAGTACGCACGCCGGCTTCTACCATATCGTGTGCTAACGGTGCTCTGTAGTGGAGACGCTCATGGCCAACTTGTACTTTGAAATGAACGAGACCGTGACGCTATATACGATGGACCACCGCGGCACGGGCCGCAGCAACCGCCTCGAATGCAACGCTGTACGACGTCACATACTCAACGTCTCTCATCTCACACAATATAGGCGGCGAGCATGCAGTCGGGCAGTCCGGGCGGCGTGAGCATCACAAACGAAGAATACCCCAACTGCATCAAGGACATTCTGTTCCAGATCCAGAATCACACCGAGGCGTTCTCCGTCACGAGCGCCGCGTACGACGTCAAGAGCATCATCGAGTCGGCGCAGGCGTCGAAGGAGGTGTACGTCTACGCGCTCAGCTACGGCACGTTCCTCGTCGAGCGGCTCATGCAGCTCCAGTCACCCGAGATCAAGGGCTACATCGTCGACAGCATCGTGTCGCAGAGCAGCCCGAGCTTCAAGAGCATGTCGACCTTCTCGAACTGGGACCGCGACGTGGCCAAGGTCGGCAACCGCTTCTTGGATCTCTGCCAAAAAGATGCGTTCTGCGGCGCCAAATTCCAAGGCCGGAACGTCACGGACGTCGCGTGGGCCGTCTACGACAAGCTGGACCGCGAGTACGGCACAAATGTCAACCAGTGCGCCGACCTCATGCTGCAGATCGGCGGCGCGCCGTCCCAGACGCTGCGGTCGCTCTTTGGCTCGATGCTCATGAGTCAAATGTACCGCGAAATGATCCCCGCGCTCCTCTTCCGCTTTGACCGGTGCGCGCCCAAGGACGTCAAGGTGCTCCAGAGCTTCATCGACATTTACATTCGCGAAGAAGGCCGGTGGGCGGCCAAGGCCTCGGACGAAGACCAGACCTTGTACTACTCGGAGCTTCTGTACGGGCTCATCGTCTACTCGGAGATGTGGGAAACGCCAACGCCGTCGCAGTCGGAGCTCAAGGCAACCTTCGACGCCGGGCTCTTTGGTGGCGCCACGTACTCGCTCGTGGAGCAGTACTGTACGTTCACGGGGTCGCGCGATCCCAACTGCGCCGAGTTCAACCTCCCCAAGAGCCCGCCGTTCGTGTACGAGCGTGATCAGTACTTCAACAAGACGGCGAGCGTCCCGAGAGGCGCCACCGCGCTCCTCATGGCCGGCGGCTTGGACCCGCAGACGCGCTGGGGCTACGCGCGCGACGAGAACGCGTCGATGGTCGGGCCGCACCGGCTCATCGAGTTCCCGACGTCGGCGCACTGCACGACCTTTACGACTCGCATGAAGGCTGGCGGCACCACGTGTGGCGTCAAGATCCTCGCCTCGTACGTGCTCGGCGGCGGCAACCTCGACACGATCGACACGAGTTGCCAGTCGGACGTCATTGGCCTCAACTTTGGCGGCGTCGGCGCCGGCTGGCTCCGCTACTTTGGTGTGCTCGATGCCTTCGAGGACGATGCGACGGCGGGTGTGTTTGCCGCCGTCCAGTCGACGGCCGAGAGCGACGAAAACGATTCGCTATGGGGCCTCGGCCAGGGCTACAGCCTCGCTGTGGCGTCGGCGGCCGTGGCCATGGGCGTGGTCGCCCTCGTCCTTGCCGTGCGCGTCTCTCGGCGCCAACCTGCACGGACAACAAAGACCACGGTGATGACAACCGAGTCGACCGAGAACGACGACGACGAGCTCATGACGCCGCCCGAGCAAGTCGCCGCGGTTGCGTCGCCGGCCGATACGGTCGCCATCGTTTAAGGTAGATAAGACATGCGTTTTGACATAGCCATGTACAATGTGTCATTCGTGTTGCAGACGCAGAAACACGGGCACGGGATTCATGTCGTGGGACGCACGGAACGCGTCTTCGAGCCACTGACCGTCGGTGGCATTGATCCTAGGCATATATGTACAATATTGTCCCTATATCATGGACAATGTGTACACGAGGATCCATATATGAATCTCGCGCGGCGGCTCCAAGTATATCGGATGGTCTTCGTCGTGGTTGACGACAAGGATCCCTTTGGCGCCCATCTTTTGCACGGTCCTAGCGCACATATAGAAAAGGGCTATATAACCCAGCAATGGTATACATGGCCTTGTGAATGATATTGCACTTGCCACGCTTGACGACGACAACGGCGCCGCGACCGCGGACGCTGAGATCGTCCCGATGACACGCTGTCTGGAGCGGGTACGAGTGCACGAGCTGCAGCGGCGCAGTCGTCGCATTCACAAAGCGGTGCGGTCCCGTGTTGTTGACCTTCATGACGCGCTCGTGGCTGCCTACGAGGACGCGCATGGTCGTCGGCGACGGCTCCGAGGCTGGCCACGGCTGCAGAGGCGAGGCCGCGGGCTCTTGGACCCAGAGCGCGGTCCCTGCCGTCGGTCGCGATTGCAGCAGTGCATACAGCAGCTCGCCGTCGTCCTTGGCCATCCTACCGCCCGCTCAGTTTAGACCATCTTCCACTGCAGCTCGTACATGGCGACAGGGATCGTTGTTGGCGCGATGGCGGTGTTGGTAGTGGGAAAAGCGAGCGGGCCCGACTTGTGGTCGTTGATGAGAAGGAGGCCGCGGCGGCTTGCGTCCACAACCCGCTTGGCCTTTTCGGTAAACGCGCACACGCCTCGGAAGGCCAGCACGAGCGTCCCAGGCGTCGACGTTTGCAGCGCCGAGCACGCCGTGGACGGGCTTGCAACGACCACGACAACGCTCTCTGCAATCGCATGCGCTGCACTCCAGTCGGCCACGACGAGCGGGAGGCTCCAGTTGCGCAGCATCACGTCGTTCGTAAAGGTGAGTGTGTGGCGCATGCGAACTGGAGCCGCGATCGTCACATTCGAGTGCGGGGACGTCTCAAAGACGAGTTGTTTGGGAAACGGGCCTGTCTCAAAGAGCACTTTGATGTCGGCGAGGGGTAGGGTCGTCACGTTGAGAACGTCGATGCCGACCAACGTCTCGAGCGGCAAAATGGTGACGTCGGTCCGGTTGGCGAGTAAACTGAGCGGCTGCACGTGCTGCACGATGGCTCCGACTTGGGCGTCCCGGTCCCACTCGATCCCGATCGCGCAGAGCGCCGCGATGCGCACCGCGTACCGCACGATGTGTCCATCCTTGCGGTGCCCCGCCAACGTCGAGAGAGGCACGGCCGCCCAGAACGCGTGCACCGGATCAACGACAACTTGTCCAGAATTAGCGACGACAACATTTGGTGTTGCGATCGCACACGGCGGCGCATACAACACCAACCGCCGCGGGTTGCGCACGGTCTCGAACGTCTGTGCCATGCGCCGCGGCGGCAGCGTCGACACATTGATGCCGTTGATGTCGACCACGTGGTCGCCGAGACTCAGCACTTTGACGCGCTCGGCGGACGAGTTGGTCACAATAAGCTTGACAACAGACTGGTTGCCGAGGTCCATGTCCCACCCAATGCCAATGGGCTGCGGCGGATTGCCCACGACGTTAAACTCGACGACGTAGTAAAAGCCACATCCGTTTTGACGCGCAGCGCTAATGTTGGCGTGCGGCAGCAACAAGAACCGCGTATCGGGCGCTGGCGCCACCGTCGCGTTGAGGACGGCGGCGGGGGCGGGCGGGGGCTCCTTGTAGCGGGAGAACGTGAGCGTCATTGGCCACGTCGCCGCCAAGTACGGTTTCTTGAGCTCTATCGGCCCCACACGCGAGACGTTGACCGTATTGATCGCTACCAAGTGGTCCTTGGGCTTGATGAGGCCCACGGCGGCCGCCGGCGAGAAGGAATCGACGTCTTCGACCACCGACTTGTCCACCACGGACGCATTCCACGAGATGCCAAGCCGCGTCCGGACGTCAAATGTCACCGAGTAGATGCTATCGTCAGTGCTGGGCGGTGGTGGCGGCGGTGGACTTGGCACTGGCTGCACAAGTACAACTGGAGGGGGTGGCACGGGGGCCGGTGTCGGGATCGGGATCGGGGCAGCCACGGCGGGTGTCGTTGCATTTCTTTCTCCCTCGTCGTCGTCGTCCGCATCTTCGGTCTCGATGATGCGCAACATTGACGGACGAGGCGCCTCGCTGGTTGAGAGATCGTCGCTCTCGAATCCCGTCGCCAGCGAAGCTCCAATCGAGTCGGTCGTGACAAACCGCCGGTACGTCACCGGCACGTCCTTGTACGCGGCCACGGCGTGGTCGGTTGCGATCAAGCGCAAGAGCGCGTCACGACGCCGCGTCAGCGTTGGTTCAAAGAGCAAATTGCGTGGCTCAAGGCGCGTGAGGCGCAAGAAGCCGCTGAGCACGTTCGCGTGTCCGTCACGAGTGTCGACGAGCGGGACGGCAAGAGGCGGCGCACCCGGTTGCATCACGCCTTCGACAATCTCGTCGAGCGGTGCGAGCGAGATCTCGACGCCGTCGACCGCCAAGAACGCATCACCGCGCTCCAGTGACACAGGCGTGTCATTGTTACTACTCTGGAAAAACGCCAGGCGCAGCACCATCTGCCGCGTCGTGCGGTCGAACGCGGCGTGCATGACGCACATGCTTGTATTCGGCGCGAGGCACGCCGCTGCGGGAAGAGCGTCAAGGAACCCGCTGCGCCGTCGCACTCGGAGCGTCGTGGGTGCCATGACGTGGAGCTGTAGAAAGCCTTCGAGGCGCACCGCATCCTCGATCTCGGGCTCGTCGAGCTCCGTGAGCAATGGCACGATGAACGTCGAGTTGGGAGGCGTGTCTGCAATGGCGTCAAAGGACAGCGTCGACATGGTCGCGTTGTCGACGCCGACGAGGCGGTCGGTGGTCTGCACGCCAAAGTCGCTTGCTTCGTCGTCGCATGATGGCTCGCTGCTTGGCTCGATGCGGTGGAGGACGAGGTGGACCTCCTCCGACGCGTTCAAAAGCACGGGCGAGAGCACGTAGCGCTCGGCGGCAAACGGCGCCTCAAAGTAGACGTAGGCGGGGACAAGGACGTGCAGGAGGAGCGCGCAGGCGAGGCGCAGGCCATGGCGCATGCTCACGCCTGTCGAAGATTCGTTTCGCTGCGTTTTTTGTTCAACCTATAAAACGCAATATGGTTTCATGTATGCTGCTCGTGCGCGTCGTTGGCGGATCTCGCAACGTCGATCGCTAGGTCCAGTGCACATATCGGCTCGTGCGCAGGCTGTCTTGCTGGGGACGCTGGAGCTTCTGGTAGCCGAGCGCAAGGCGGCCTACGACGGTCTTTTTGATTTGGCATCGGGTAAACTCGTTTATTGGCCAAAATGGCGTTCTTGAACACGAATTTGGACCAATGAGCACGCGATATAATCTCCGAGTTGCCACCTTGCACCAACGTGGCATGGGCTTGACGCCAAAGGAGGCCTGCGCGTCAACGGGGCCGCGCTACGGTGCGGCGAGCGCTCTGCAACCTCTGGCCAACCATCGATTTTAGGCTACTTGTCGCCATGGAGCGATCCACGCCTCGAATTTCGCCAGCTCCGCGTCGTCAACGACGCCAAGACGCTCTTCCATGTGACCGCCATGCGACCCTGCGCACAGGTCTTACGATTCGCCGTGCGTAGGCAGGCTGCCATGCGTGCGAAACCACGATGGCGTCCGCGCTCGATGCGTCGATGGGGCGTTTGCAGCTGCATGTGCCGACGTCGATCGGTGTCTTGCCTAACGTCTCGCTCCAGCTTCAGGTCCACAGCCACGCCCGTCTCGCCGACCTGCGGATCATTCAGTGCTTCTACTTTGGTCCGAACGATGTCATTGTGCTGGACAATTCACTCGGCTGTGTCCCAGCGCACGTGACGCACCGCTGGGGCCTTCCATGGCGCAGCGCCTTCTTCGAGCGTCCACTACATCAGGCCGAGAGTGTCCCAAGCGACATCTTTGTATTTGAACGCGGCTCGCTCTTCCTGCACATGCGGGTCGATGTATGGTTCTTTGACCAAGCCAGTGAGAGTACTCGGCTCTGCGACAGCATCCGCGATGGCTTTGCCCACCTCGTGCTCGAGAGCTTGCACCGCGGCGTCCTCTCGGTGCCATTTTCCCTGAAATCGTACAACAGCCGACATGACGTGTGCACATGCTAGTGGCCTCAACCGCCGCCAGCGCTGCACGAGGCCGTCCGGAAGCGGTACCCGACTCTTCTCTCGCTCCTGCTCGATCACAGTATACCTGTCGACACCTACGATGCGGTATCGCCGCACTTGAGTATCGAGTATCGACGCTGACCAAGCGTAGAAAGCCCGCACGGCGCTGCTTGTGGCTGTTGAAGACGACGCCGAGGCCATGGCAGTGCTTCTGCTCCAGCGCGGCGCGGCGCCCAACAAGGAGGTATGCTTCGCATCGCACATTCGCTATAGGGCGAGCGATGGGGCGTAGACGGACGGTAGCTCGCCGCTCTTTCGAGCCATTCAACTAGGTCGGCTCTCGATGGTCGCGTGCATGCTGCAGCACAATCGACGCGCCGTCGTCGACGCGATTGCGCCGGCCAATGGCACCGACCCCGACAGCGTACGACGACGTCTGAGGTCGGTCGCGTCACGACGTTGCTTGTAGAGAAATCTCTCGGGCCTCATGTATGCATACCGGTGCAACCAACCAGAGATCGCAGAAGAGCTTTTGCAGGCCGGCGCGAGCGTCCTTGGGCCGGTGCGTGGATCGCAGCTTGCAATATTTAGCTCAAGTTCAATGAGTGTAGCCCACCGGCCACAGCAGCGTGCTCTACTACTGCGTCGCCTACCTTACGGATGAAGACACGCAGCATGCGCATGTGAAGCGCCTCTTGGCGTTGGGCGCTGCCTGTGAGATCTACAAAGCGAGCTTCGTACGTCCTTCTCTACGAGCTCAACCAGTGACAGACGTTGCGGCGTCCATAGGTCAAGCCGAGCGCGATCGAACACGCGATTCGAGTCCGTGCGTACACGACGGTCGCGCTGCTTGTGTCGTATCCAGGCATGGCAGAGGACCCGATTGCTGTACGACAGCAAACCAACACCTTTGGTCGGAGGCTGTACATGCAATGGTAGGTATCGTATCGGCCGACGCTGCACCGCCTTGCGATCGAATGCGACGACGACGGACGCATGCTGCGCACGCTGCATCTGGAATACTACGAGAGCGACGAAGTCGACAACACGTCTGTCCGACACGTGCTGCACCTCAAGTGGCTCCGGCAAAACGTCGAGAGGCTGGCGCTCGAGGAACAGCACCACGAGTACCCGTAATAATACCAACCCCGGTTGCAACCCACTATCTATTTCATGGCGCGATCAACTCGAATTGCGATACTGAAATGACAATACCGGTCTAGTCGGTGGTCGTTCTTGCTTGCCTTGCACACCGTACTCGGCAGGCGGCTACAAGTCTCGTATATCGTGGAGACTATGTCGTCCATACGAGAAAGTCCAGTCGCGGGAGACGAACGTACAAAGCCGCGAGCGTCTGACGCCAGGCGCGAGATCTTCAGCGCCAAATCAGCCGTCATTCTTGACAATCACCATCGTTCGCGATTGTTTCCTGTGTTTTCATTGGCCACAAGTCGCTGAGACAGCTCGGTGCCGATGATTGTGGCATGCTGGGGCCGACGAACGTCAGTTTGCCTTTTGCTGGATCATGCCGCTGCTTCTGAGCCAGGCGTTGTTGGCGACGCACCAGCGCTTGGGCTACTACGCACCGTGGCGCAGCTGTCGCCTGTTGCTCTCGACGCTCGACGTCCTCAAGACGGGCCACACGTCGCCGCTTTGTCGCATGGGCTGCGACGTCTGTGGGCAGACGATGGACGAGTCCCTCGACGCCACCAACGGCACGCTCGTCCTCCATCTGCAGAAAGAGTTTGTGTGGCTCCACCAGCTCGCGTTCCAACTGCGCTTTCACGCTGTGACTGCTTTCACATGCTTGCGCCTCGTGCAGTGTCTCGACCTTCCGAATGGCCTCGTCGTCGTCCACGATGCGACGTATGGCGCCGTGGCCGCAGACTCGGACCACCTCTGGGTCATCGAGTGGGGCACGCTTCTCTCGAGCGCTGCAGCGGGCATCGAGCTGTGTCCCGGCGCCGCGGTCTCGGGGCACCTCTTCTATTTTGACGGCACCACGCTCGTGCTGCACCAGCGCTGCGAGATCATGCTCGCCGACGACCCATCCGACAGCGAGGACCTTGCCGCTGCGGTCGACGACGGACTTGCTATCGCCCTCCTCGAGCGCCTCCACCAGCAACGTTTCATGGTCTGCACAAGTCCAATATGGTTCCCTTGTCTGAGCCATGCTCTAGAAAGCGGTGCTGTCGCCTGCGGTCCACCGCGCCGTCGCCAAGCGATACTGGCCCCTTCTCGACCTCCTCCTCTCGCACGGCGCCAGCATTGAAGCTGTCGACAAGGTCGTCGTCTCCCATCAACAGACGTCTCAATGTACGACCTCCGTAGAACTTTTACACGCCGTTGAGCAAGGCCGTGGCCGATGGGGACGAAGCCTGCGTCGAGGCGCTCGTGAAGCGGGGCGCATCACCCTTCAACCTCGTACCGAAATCCTAATGTCGTCGCCTCGGCCAACATGTTTGTAGGCGTCTGGCATCTCGCCGCTCTTTGCTGCCATTCAACTCGGCCATCTCGGTATCACTCGCCTCCTCGTGGACGTGGACACGCCCAAGGCGCTGCTGCAATGCGTGCCCGTCGAGCGCCGCGAACTCTTCAACGTACAGTATCATCACATTTCCAAAGTATAATTCCTTGCGAACTGTAGCGGTCGGCGGTCTCGGCGCTCGGCTACGCCTACATTTGCAACCAGCCAGAGGTCGCGCTGCTGCTCTTGCACGCGGGCGCGTCGCCCTCGACAGTACGTCGACGCTCTGTGTTGACTATCAACTAAAGATGTGTAGGACTCTGGCACGACGGTACTTGCGTCTTGCATTGGCCACGTCGAAAACCCGATCAATCGCATGACGCACGTCTTGGAGCTTCTCGACCGCGGTGCTGCCACCGACATCCACGTGCGCTCGTCGCTAGAGTCGTCGTCTGGTATGGACGACACGGCGATGGTCCGCGCGATCCAACGTTGCGACTACGACCTCGTGCGCCTTCTGATCGCTCGCCAGGATTACATCCCAGTGACTGCGGTACCTCTTCCGTGCACGAACGCGCGCGTCATCCTGACATGTCCTTAGAAAATTGCCATGGAAGAGGCCGCCGCGGCCATCTCGGACAACGGGCGCATGCAGCACCTCATCGGCAGTACCAGCGACAGCGTTACTTGGCTCGAACTCCCCGAGCTTTTTGCAGCGATCCGAGACGGAGACGTCGCCCGTGTAAAGGAACTGGGCACCTCAGAGGACCTTTGCACGCGCCAGCAAATCTTTGCGCTGGGGCGACTCCCCACCTGCGTGCGCCCCCTACCCGGGGGCCCTCGAGGGGTACACAATACCCCAACTCAAGAGTCGAGCTCAGAGCCATGTAGATTGCCGTGACCGCGCTGATGTTTGCCTACATTTCCAACCAGCCCGAGGTCGCACATGCGCTTCTCGAGGCTGGCGCCCGCGTGTGCATGGAGGTACTCGACATAAGACGACATTGGCGTGTGATCGACTAACTAATCGAGTGACAGGACGGCGAGGGCTCGGCGCTCTACTACTGCCTTGCTTGCGTCGAAGACGAAACCACTTGCATCGCCCACGTCTTGGAGCTCCTCGAGCGCGGCGCCAGCAGCGACATCACCAAGGTACAGAGTCGCCAAGAAATGAGTCTGAGTGGCTTTCTAGGGTGACGTGTCACCGCTGACGTACGCGGAAGACGCCGACATGTTTTCCATTGTTGAAATTCTCTACGCGTACCTCGAGTCGGCCGTACGACGCTGTCTGCCGAGATTGGCCGAGGCCGCATGGCTTGGTGAACATGACAATGTTTCGCACCCGGCAAACGACACCACTGACGAGAGCGCGACCGCCTTCGGGTCCATCGAGCAGCACCATCCCGATGTGCCAGGCAGCTGCGATGCTGCAGACGATAGCGACGTCGATGAATGGGAGGTCGTGGAGCAGTACCACTCATCCTAGCCGTCGTACGAAAGTTGTGACTGCGCTGCTTTCTCCTTCCTCCTCCGCACCCCGGACAACAACGACTGCGTAAAGATGTGAAAGAAAGAGTAAAAAGGGAATGATATCAGAGAGCTTAGTATCGTCAAAATGTGCAACATAATCAGACGGCACTTCCAAATGTAAGCATTAGGTCTATCATTTTCATTCCCCTTACTAGACTACAAGCGATATCGAGTGAGTAAATTGGCCCTCGTCAGGATAATTGTCCTCCTATGATTCAGAGTAATTCTAGAGATAATGGCAGTCATCGGGCGCGTTCTACTCGTCAACTAGTCTACGACACCTCCAAATCTCAACTGGTCGCAAACGGCAAGGTCTGGGCGCGGTCAAGGCGTCCGCACCAGTCTTTTTTCAGCCAATCATCGTGCGACCTTTTCGTCAACTTCGACCGCTGACCTCGTAACTTCGCTTTATAGCTTCGACAAACTCGTCATACATGATACGATCAAATGCTGGAGGTGTATTTCAGTTTCGGCATATGCCGCTTTGAAGATGGTAAGCGGATCAAATCCCCACTCCGTCGCTGCCAGTGCCATCGTCATTGCCGTGCGATGCACACGTATGGGCACATACATCTCAACGAGGATACATTGAGTTTGATCGGTTGCACAACGGCTGCATGGGACAATGTTGTCGCTCACTGGCCACCGTCGTCGGAATGTGCCGAATTTAAACGCTGGAATGCCGAATTAGATGCGAAACTGCGCGAAGATTCGCAAACACCAGTGAAGATGGGCGTGGCGACGCGGGTCATCCAAGGTGCGCAGATCGCCGCCAAGATGCGTGCGCAGGTCAAGGCCAAGGTAGACGCATGCCATTGCCATCGTCTAAACACTTCTGTAGATCGATGCCATTGCGGCGACGACGCCGGCGGTACAAGCCATGCTTGCGTCTCTCATGCTCATCGTGCTGGGCTAGCGGCCATCGCTGGGCGTGATCATGGTTGGCGACCGGAAAGACTCGCGCCTGTATGTCGAGGCCAAAGGCCGCGCGTGCCTCGAGGTTGGCATCACTTCAGTGAACCAATTCTTCCCGATGGACGTCGCCCAAGTACGTTGCTACCAACGCGTGGCCATCCTCATGGCAGGTCTAGGCGGACCTCTTGAAGCAAATTGACGCGTTCAACGCCGACGCGTCCATCGATGGTATCTTGGTGCAGGTACATCTGACATCATCCATGGGCGATGGCCTCACCGTGCGTAGCTGCCGCTGCCGCCAACGATCGACGAGAAGGCTGTCATCGACGCGGTCTTGCCGACAAAAGACGTCGACGGACTGCACCCGTTCAACGTTGGCGAGCTCTCGATGCGCGGGCGCACGCCGCACTTTACTGCGTGCACCCCAGAGGGCGTTCTGCAGCTGCTGGACGAGGTTGCGCACTGGTCACACGTGGTGCCCACGTGTCATCGACGGTCGTAGGAGGGCATTGAGCTACAAGGCAAGGTCGTCGTTGTGCTCGGGCGCAGCGACTTGGTCGGCAACCCCGTCGGTATGCTTTTGCGCAAGCGCCACGCCACGGTCATCTCGTGTCACTCGCGCACGGGCAACGTACTCATTCTTCCTGCGGTGCTCCAAGGTTCAGGCGACCATCCGATTATAGATCCCGACCTTTGTTGGCATGGCCGACATTGTCATTAGCGCCTGCGGTGTCCCACGCCTCGTCCGCGGGAGCTGGCTCAAGCCTGGCGCGGTCGTCCTTGACGTTGGCATCAACTTTGTCGCGGACGGCACGGTCGTCGGTGACGTGTGTTTTGACGAAGCCATGGGCGTGGCTGGGGCCATCACCCCCGTCCCTGGCGGTGCGTCGGCGTCGCATTGAACGTGTTTAAACAGCTTGCAATGACGTAGGGGTCGGGCCCATGACGATCGCGATGCTCATGCGCAACGTCAGCATCGCGTTCGAGCGCCGAATAAACGCTTTGGCGGGCAAACCCGTTTAAACTCACAATACGAAACTGGTTGTGCGTCGTATCAGTTTCACTCGACCACCGCGCATGGAGCCGCACTTTGCCGCGACGTCGCTCCCCAAAGTCTTTCGCGAGAGCTTGGCCAAAGCTGCCGAGGTCCGTGAGCCGCTTCGGCCGTCCCTTCCTCGGCAAGCGTAGGCTACAACATTCCTTCTTTTGTAAGCATCGAGCGTACCTAGCGCGACGGCCAGCTCGACGCACCGCCGCAGCAGCGGTGTGCCTCCGAACCAGTCGCACTTGGTCTCGCCAAGAGCGTTCGAAGCCCCGTTCGGGACGCAACCTCGTAAGCCCAAGCCGCAAGCGACAGCGAGTATCGACCCGCGAGACGAAGCCGGCATTCTGTTTCCGTACAACAACATTGCCGACGACGACGGGTCACTGCAGCAAATCATGTGGGCCAAGTGGAACCACGACGCCACCAACGACTCGCAGGCGGCGAGTGCCAAAGATGCATTCGTGTCCTTTGCCTTGTACGCTGATTGCCAAGTTGTCGGGTGCTTGACAGATATATTGTCCAGATATGCTCAAGTCAAGCTCCAAGAGGCGCAGCGCATGGCCGCGTACTTGGAGCAGCCCAACCTCTTTGTAACAGCGGTCGCGAGCTCGCTTCTCCAGCGGGTAGAATCATGAAGGCGTCGATACCGATCCTATCGACGGGTTCTAGTGCGCCGACCGGCTCGGAGCGTCTGGCGGCATCGTCCGCCAGCTTCTACAGGTGCTCCTCTCGGCCATCTACCACCGCAAGGACGCGGATGTGACGCCGGCGCGCCTCAACGTCGACCGCTACGCGCCCTACTTTGCGGTACGTGGCCGCATCGACTCGACGTGTAGGATACAATGATGTAGGAATACCGCCGACTGCGGCGGACGTGCGTCGACCTCCTCGAAGAAAACACGCGCAAGCACAACGAGACGGCAGCGCGCAAGCAAGGCTTTGGCAAGATCCAGCGCGTCATCCAGGGCACGACGCGCATTTGGAAGCACCGGCTGCTGCATTTTCTCTACTTTCAGTGGGCGTACTATGTCTTTCGTCGACGGCGCATTCGACGCGTACCTACATCGAATCTCGGTCGTTTGTCGAGTCAATATTGTCGTCTAGTTTGTGGACCGGACGTTTCGACACAAAAACCGCGGGTCCGTGCGCGACACCTTTCGCGCGTGGCGCATCGAGGCACTCCGCCGTGCCTACTATGTACGAGAACCAAGTTGTGCAACTACTCGTGTACACGAGGGCATAGCGCGAGTCGGCCAATTACCAGACAATGTTGTCCGTCACCGCCGAGTCGCTCAGCCGCAAGGTGGCTGGAACCTGGGATTCCCAGACGCTGAACTTGCATGGTAGGATGTGCAACTGACCAGCGCCACCGAGAAGATCGCCAAGTTACAAATGCATGTCGACCAGCTTACGACGACCAACTCCAACTTGGTACATCAGGACGCGTTGCAGTCGTATCGAACAAACGACGCTAGATCACGCGGGTCCAAGACCTCGAGAGTCAAATTCGCATCTTGAAGCTCACGATGCGGGGCAGCTTGACGGCGCCAGCAGCGCAAGACCACCCACCGCTTGTGTCGGCCATGACGGCGCCGCCCGCGGCGTACGAGCGCATGGACACGATCGTGTACGAGGACGACCAGCCGCGCGACGACGGCGGTGGCGCGCGCGTCAACAAGATGCTTCTCGAAGGCATGTTTGCCATGGCGCGCATGGTCGAGTCGGCCGTGATCCAGTTTAGCAAAGAGTCGCTCGAAGCACTCGAGACGCAGTACGACGGCGCCGAGCTGCGCCAGCTCTCCCAGCGTGTACAACTCGTCGTTTTCGAGAGACGACAGTGCTTATAACGATTGTAGATTGCAGACGAGCACGCGCAAATCGACAAGATCACGACCGGGTACCATGACGTGCACTTGACCAACGTCTTGAGCAAGCCCGTGGACACGATTTTGCTGCATTGGGCGCGCATGAAGCTTGAGGAGAGCAAAATTGTGCTGCGACCGCAAGACCGAATGGTAGACAAGTTGTCCATTGTTTGACACACCACAACTCGTCGCTCGACCGCGTAGCTCAAGAACTTTACCGACGATCTGGCCGACGGCAGTAAATTCTCGACGCTTTTGCACCACTTGTTTCCACGCGACTACGACACCCACGTACTTCCACGCTAGACAAATATGTACATGCTCCACGCGAGGCTACTAGATGGTGCACGAAATCAATGTCGAGCAGCGATTGGCCAACATTGAGCGCTTCAACAAGACGCTGCGCGTCGAGTCGTCGAGCGACGTCAAGGTACCCGTCATTGTCACTGCCGACTCGATCGCGGCCCAGCGCGGGCTTGAGAACGCTGTCTTTATCAGCGTGCTCTTTACGCTCTCGCCGTACGATCGATCGATTTCTTCGTCGAACCTTGTGCAATATTCCGGTAGCGGCCACTTTTCCAAGGTCAACACGGAGAAATGCCGCAAGGTGTTTCTGCAAATCGTCTCGGCGTGGAAAAAGGTTTGGGTTTGTGGACAACTTGTCTGTTTTAAAGATGACATGCTAGGTGCGGAGCTTGATGCTCGAGGTGAAGCGCACGCCCGACGATCCGCTTGGCGCCGAAAACATGATGGTCGTGACGCTCGGGAAGGAGATGCGCCGCGTCGAAGAGCTGCACACGCTGCTTCAGAAAGAAATGACGTCGCTCGTCTGCGCGAGCAACGAGAGCGCCGGCGTTCTCTCCAAGCTCCTCCACAAGATCTTGTGTTTTACGTGGCGGGTTGGTCTCTCGCTAGATTGATCGATTGATACAAACATCGTTGGTAGATGTTGTCGCAGCGCGACCGCGGCGTCGACGGCGACATCATTGACGAGCGCCGCGCCGACACGCTTCGCAAATTTACGAGTGTGAGTGCCAACGTAATCCGCCGGCTCATTTCAGACGAACCGTCGCCGCGCCGTCGCAGCATCTCGGACACGGAGGTCATGACGCGCGTCTTTGGCATTCAAAAAGTGCTCAAGCACCACTTTAACGACCTCCACGCCATCTTTCGTCACTACAGGTTGGCATCAGCCAGTCGACATTTGCAGGAGACTGACGCGTGCCACGGTATGTTAGTTGCAGCACCTTGCGCGGCCACTCGGCGACCATGAGTCTCCAAGAATACATTAAATTCGTCAAGGTACGAGGCGGTGGGCATGCAAAACATGACCGTCGTGTGCAAAGGACTGCAACATTGTCGACAAGAAGGTGCATTTGCCCGTCGTCGACGCCATCTACCACCACTGTGTCGAGGCCCAGTACGTCTATTCATATGCAAGGACGGACGCTGACGCTGACGTAGGGACGACGGCACAGCGCAGCGTGAAATGTCACCGATGGACTTTGTCCACGCGCTGGTTCTTGTTGCGGACAAGAAATTTCCGAGCATGGTCTTTGAAGAGCGGATCCAGGAGCTTTTGGACAAGTGCGTCTTGCCCAACGCGAGTCGGTCGCAACCCGAAGCGTTCCGCCTCCTCTTGCACTCGCCCGAGGTACTCCATCGCTTGCAAGTTGATTAGGCAAATATGTCTACTAGGTGCGGGCTGTCCTTTTGAAATTCAAGAGCCCGCTCCAGCACGTCTTCAAGTACTACTCCAACATGAAGACCGACGACGTATGAGATTGCATAAACCCAATTTGAAGGATACGTTGGGGTGTAGGAAATGACGGCCGCGAGCAAGTCGAGCACGACGCTCGACGTCAACGAATTCCTGAGTCTCGTCAAAGACTGCAAGCTCATGGGCTTTTTTGTGACGGACGCGATCGTCAAGCAGGTCTTTATCCTCGTGCAGCGACAGTACGACGACACAGAGACGCAAGTGAGCACAACGACGACCGACGACGAGCTCCAAATCGATTTCGCCGAGTTTGAAGAGGTGCGAAGCACCTGCAACAGCGCAAGTCGCATGGATGGAGTAGGCGCTGGCCGTGCTCACGGAGCATGTGATCTGCAACCCGTACATCCCGCTGCACAAGCGCCTCGAGCAGTTTGTGACTGAAATGGTCTTGCCCCGCGCCCGCCAAAAGAAGACCAAAGGCGACCACCACTAAGAACGCACAGTTATTAGTTAGTTGTTTCCATAGTCGATAAACGCGCTTTAGTGCACAACATCTAGTACATATTGGTTAGTCGTTCAATCTCTCGTCGACGGCGCAGTCGATGGATCCATTCGTCCGCGGTGCAGGTGCTTGTGGCGATCCGCGTGTCGCGTATCCGGATGCTGACCTGGCGTACGGATAACGCCATTTCCGAATCGGCTGCCAACAACGCAAGAGAATGGCAGCTTTGGGCAACGATGTAGTGCTGGGTCTCCTCGGGACGGGCAAGATCGGCAGCGCCGTCATGACGGGCTACTGCTCGCCGGTCGCCGCCAAGTCGACATGGGAGCCCAAGGCCATCTTCGTGAGCCCGCGCGGGACGGAGAAGGCCAAGGCGCTCCAGGCCAAGTTCCCGGCCAAGGTCACGATCGCGGCCACGAACCAGGCCGTCATTGATGCGTCCAACGTCATCTTCATTGGCTTGCTTCCGGACATTGCGCGCCAGGTACACAGCGATTGCGCACCTGCTGCCTTCTCATGGCGGCGACGTAGGAACTGCCGGCGCTCACCTTTCCGCCGCACGTCACGGTCATCTCGATGATGGCCACGATCCCGTACGACGAGCTCGTCCAGCTCGTGCGTCTCCCCAAGGCGAACGTGGTACACACAGCCATGTGCATACTGCTTGCGATGAAGAGGCCATTAGGTGCGCACGGTCCCGCTGCCAAGCTCGTCGCGTCGCACGGGTCCGATCCTCGCGTACCCCAAGCAGTCGTACGTGGAGCAGCTCTTGCTGCAGATCGGGACACCGGTGATGGTTGACACGGAGAGCGAAGTGACGACGCTTGTAGGCTACATGACATTCACTTTCCATCGCCTCATGTGTCTCTTCCATCACGGTAGACGGGCATGACGGCCATGATCTCGTTCTTCTACGCGACATGCGGCCACCTCCAGCAGTGGTGCGTCAACAACGGCGTTGGTACGCGCTCATCTCTGTCGCTAAAGCTCATGGTGCACGTAGAGGACTCGGCGTCGCGCGCGTACGTTGCCTCGTTCTTCCAGTCGCTCGCCGACGCGGGCATGGTGTCGACCGAAGCCTTCCACGACATGGCCGAGGAGGCCGCGACCCCCGGCGGCCTCAACGAGCAGACCCACCGCGGCCTCACGAGCACGGGCGCGTACGAGCTCATGCTCGACCAGGTCGACGCCATCTTCACGCGCTTGACCAAGGCCGCGCCGGCGCCGCGTCGCTAGCGGCGGAACCGCCCACCCTAGATCTCGGTCGCTACAAACACGGTGTGGATTTTCACGTGGCTTTGTTTTTTAAATGACTTGTTCATGTATGTTATCCGGAATGGTGGTGCAATAATAATATTTACGGCCGAAACGGAGGTGCCATTTTTTTTCCCGAGCGCCACCCGAGAGGCCGACGCGCTTCAAGCCGCGATGCTGACGCCGGACGAGGAAGACTACTTTGGTACGCCGATGGGCATGAAGACGAGGATGACCATGGCGCCATGTAGATGCGATGACGCAGGAAGACATGCGCGCCATGATGAACGAGAACTTTGGCGTGATCTTGGCACGCGTCGGAAGCCATCCCTTCTGGCCGGCTCGGGTACGCACCGCCAATGGCGTCCATGGCGGCGCGAACAGTCTCTCCATCGTGGTGGCTCGTAGATGGTTGAGCTCGAAGAATGGGTCGACCACGTGGCGCACCGCCAGCGCAAGGGGCAGATCTGCGTCTACTTTTACGGCTCGCACAACTAGTACGTGGCTGACGTTCCTCCTCCATCCGCATGGCTATCGACGGCGATGCTCATGCATGTACCGTGGTATGTAGCGGCTGGACGTTGCGCAACGGTTTGCACGCGTTTGTCGACGACCACCCGTCGTTCAAGTCGGTGAAGAAAGGAACCAAGATCTGGACGCAGTACACACAGGGCCTCGATGAGGCCAAGCAGGCGATCGTGACCGCGACCGCCATCAACGCGACGCCCTTCTTTGAGCGCATGTACGCTCGCCTCGATTCTCGATCGTCTTGACCTGCACATGTAGCACCCAAAAGATGAAGGATTGCGAGGTTGACGTGCCCTGCAGCGGGTGCAGTAAGAAGGGCGGCGACGGCCTGCGCCTCGTCTGCGATGGCACAAGCTGCGAGAAGGAGTTCCACATGGCCTGCCTCGACCCGCCGCTGACGACCGTACGACGATGCAGCGATCGTGGCCACTCATTTTTCGCCTCTCGTAGGTGCCCGAGGGATCCTGGTACTGTCCGACCTGCGCCAAGCGCCAGCCCACGCCGTCTCTCGAGGCCACGTCACCGAATACGAACGCGACAAGTAAGCCCAAGGCGACGCCGGACGCCAAGCCCATGGCGCGCAAGTCGGACAAACTCCGCAAACCCGACGGCCGGAAATCCAAAGCGTCGTCGCCGCCGGTGACGTCCGAGCCCCTACTCGACGACGTCGAGTCGGAAGAGCGCTGCTTCCTCTGCGGTCTCGGCGGCGAACTCGTCGTGTGCGAGTTTGGCCGCTGCACCAAGGTGTACCACCAGCTCTGCCTCGGCGCGTACCCGTTTCCTGTCGACGACGAGACGCAATGGGTCTGTCCGCGCCACACGTGCGCGATTTCGGGCGCCCGCGAAGAGCTTGGCGCCAAGTCGACCATGTGGCACTGCCTTCGCTGCCCGCTCGCGATCGACGAGGCGGTCTTGCCCAACGTACGTCGCCTAGGATTATCCCTTTTCTATCCGAGACAAGTATCCAAGATACTAACTGGATACTAGAACGCTGCGCTGACCAAGATGAGCCGCCGGGAAAAGACGCTGTTGTGCCCGCACTGCGTGTGCCCTGTCGCCAAAGTGCGTCTCGCCAAGTTCCTCGAGCGCATTTGGTCGCTCGTCGCCACGAACCGGCAAGGCCTCCCGTTCTGCGGCCCGCTCTTGCCCGGCGTCGACCGGCCAACGTGCCTCGACGACGGCCGCGTCCTCGACCTCTTCCAGATCATGGCCAACATCCGCGCGCTGCAGTACCAGAGCGCCCTTACGTTTGCGTTCGACGTTCGCGAGGTACTCACCCTATCTCATGTCTTATTGGGTATCTCATATTTTATCAGGTTGTGGACACGGCGCTCGCTATCATCAACAACCGCTCGGCGCCGCTGGTTGAGGCCGCCAAGAGCCTCGGCATGGTGGTCGACGAGCAGCTCAAAACCTACGCCGCGCAGCTCAACGCGGTGCAGCCGTTCTTGGACGCCAACGACCCAGGTAGACACCGCGCCGCTTTTTGTAGCTAATATGCATTTGCATGCATAGGACTCGGCGACCAACCGGCGCACATTGCGCAAGCGTCGATGGCGTGGCCGATTCCGTGGCGAAAAGAGTGCACGCCGTTTGGCAGTACGAGCTACGTGCACACGGACACGCGGACGCTCGACGAGTGGACTGCGTACATTACGAGCGCCCCCGTGTTTGTGGATGTCGCGCCGCCCGTTGCTGCGGCGCCGCAGCCGGTGGCCGTGGACGAAGCGGACGCGCGGCTCGCGCACCTCCCGTCGACGCTGTCTCTTGGCGACGGGATCGACGTGCTCACGGCGCTCTCGGGCCTCTCGCAGCTCGACGGCAGCGAGGCGCTTGCGGCGTTCCAGGCCGACCAAGCTGTCCTCTCCATGTCGAGCGTCGAGATGGACCTCATGTTCAAGCAGCAAGCCGGCTTGCTTCGGCGGGCGCTGCAGGGCCACGCAGCGCTGCAACACGCGTGGCTCACGCAGCAGCAGAATTTACTCGGGACCGACTCGACACAGCTCCTCACGATCGGCGAAGGTCGCTTGGCCGCCGAACTCCGCCTCGCCAACATGGTATTGACAAAGCTTGGGCTCCAATACGTAGCATATGCATCGTAGAACCTCAAGGCGCGGCTGCGGGCCAAAGACGAGATTCTGCAGCAGCTGACAGCCGACCATTTGGCGCTGACGGCCCAGCTCACGGCCGCCCACGCTGCCATGGCTGAAAAAGAGGTGGGATAGAGTGTGGATGTTGGCTCTGACATTGGGGCCTCTGGTGTGTAGAAGGATCTGGACGCCGCGCTGCAGCGGGAGACGCCCGACGAGACGGCACCAGCGCAGTCGCCCGCGACGGACACACGTCGACGAAAGGCCTCGGACACGCCCGACTCGGCGCCATCCAAGGACCGGCGCACAAGGGCAAAAAAGCACTAGGTCACAGCCTCGCTCTGCGTCGTAACGATCTCACAACCACTGCATGCTACTTCCTCGTCGAATCACCATCGCAGCCTGCAGAGAGCCTGTAGCGGCCTGACCCAGGAACTGCTAGCGCGGTGCCATGAGCTATCAATATCGGAACGTCAACTGGTCTGGCGCTCGTTCTCGGCTTGGGGTCGGTGTGCTGGCTTGGTGATGTCAAGAGTGGAGCGTCGAATGCTCTTCTAGACCATCGAATTAACACCTTTGTGGGGAGAAGGAAGAGGTGCGCCGACGACTCGAGGTTGCGCAGGTCGAAGAGTCGAGAACGCAGATCATTGCCGAGACGATATGGGGACTCGTGAGAACAATCGCAGACGACTAGGTTACACGGTGGACAATGTCGTCCACACTCGACGCACGTTCACATTGCTCGCATGTTCCGGTGCGCTGGTGGCGGCGTCGGCGGCAGATGCAGGTCTTGGTACAGCTCGCTCTTGCTACGGTAGTCGCGCAGTGCGGCCTTGTACGCCTCGATAGCTGCCTCGGGCTGACTGTGGGAATGTGTCGAGGCGTCCGGCAAACCCGTCGCTAGCATGTCGCTGACCAAGGACATGGCCGACGAGAGCGCGAAGACGATCGCAGCGACTTGCATCGATCGGCGCGAAAATGCAAGTGACATGGCTCGTGTTTTTCACATCTAGAATCTGATTCTGTGCACGGTTGTGGACGCAGAGTAACGCGCAAGTGTTGAAGTGCACGCAATGTAGTACTGTAGTGGTGCCTGTGAACACATCAACAGTCGTTCTAGACGCAAGGGCGAGTGTGTCCTTGACGCTCGGGAGTTTCCCTTGGTTTGCTCTTGACCCAATGATTTAGCTGAAGATCCGCACTGTGTCCACATAGTCAAACGTATGCAGCCTGAAGAGACACCAACTTGGTACCGTTAGCACTGGACTCCTCTCGCGGACCAACGGCTCCTTCGCCGCACGCATCAAGTAGCGAGCAAGACACACGACCCGGGCACTGCAGTATACTACTATGTTGCCACGTGGGGTTATCCCTAAGGACCAGTACCAGTGGTAGTCAAACGTACTATCAGTAATAGCAGCTCGTCCCTCGCGTATCGAATCGAATGCAGGTATTGATTGACCTGCGGTACTGGACGCTGCTTGCAATCTCGAGAGCCGAGCGACTGTCAAATACACAATGCAGCATTCTTCGCTGCCATGCCCTACAAGTACCACCTTGCACGTATCGATTACATTACATGTACTCGACGGTACCGCGTAGGAATGGCCGTTGCGCATCACAGCAACCGCTTCAACGTCGTTGATACTGGAACAAAAGGGCAGCCAAGACACGCGTCTCAGCGACCAAGCACGGCGTCGTTGGCGCAGAACCATTGAGGAAGCGATTGATAACTCTTGGGCACAAGTTTATTGCTCCCTGAGACGAACCCACGATCACAAAGAGTCAAACTTGGGTGCCAACTTGACACCCAAGGTTGACTCCTTGTGCGTTGACCAAATATGTGTACCGTACCTAGGTACTAGTACGTGGCAACGCAAACAGTGTATGCAAACTTACGAAAATTTCACACCGCACGAAGCTTGTCCGCAAGATTGCAGTGCGACCGTCGCTAGCGCCTACTCGTATCGAGTGCATTCGATGTCGTCCTCTACACTACTATTCGACCAATACTATCAAGTCATTTGCTCTCTTCAACTCTGGAGCGCAGTCGGCTCCACGCGACGATCACCACTGTCGGTACCAAACCTTTTCGATTGACGTAGTACACGTGTAAGTGAGAGCATTAGTAACATGACATAGGACCCATTCAGAATGGAGTCCGTCGATCAATGGCAAGATCGAGATGACTTTGCACAAGGAGCAGTTGCTCCGTATTCCTCGGCAACAACGAAATTTAGCGCTAATGGATTCATTTTGGTGCGACTCCATGTCAGCGCCAGCTGTGGACACGCTTGCTCTAGCAGCTTGTCGATAGCGTCTCTATGTAGGGTCGGCCGTTTGGCGCTCACTTGTGCATTTGACTGGCCCGATGCAGATGTGGCCGGCTGCATGCGTCGTGGTATCCTTCTTTTCGCTCGTCAGCGAGATGCTGTCGACAACACCCTCGAAAGACGCGACAATGGCGAGTGAGCACGAGGCAGCGATTGAGGCCTACCGCGCTGCCATGAGTGAGTACTACGCCCGCAGCGAGCTGTACCGAGACATGCACGTGCCACCGACGCCGCCACCGACGCGACGCCTTCGCATCGAACGCAAGTAGTCACCCTTCGTCCCTACATTGTACCACAAGCGCACGACGTATAGCTCTATTTCAGCAGCTATGGAGCGTACCAGAGCACATACCTGTCAACGCGGGATTCTAACATCGATGTTTCAGTATTTAGTATCAATGTATCATCAGTGGATTCTTTGCACGGCCCCACTCGGACACAACTTGCCAGCGAGAAAGGGTGTCGAGTGTGCAATCACATAATGTCAGAATGAACGTATATGAACTACCGGTAATGGAGAGTGACGTTCGGAGGCATTGTCGCTGGAAGGGACGACTCAAACGGCGCTCGATAGTACTAGGACAGGGCACTGGACATGCACGAGCGCCACGTCAAGGAGTCGATTCGTATGCATCCTTCTTCATTGTGCAGCATTCCTCCCGATTCTGTCTACCTACCTGCGTCTGCTTGCATCAGAACGATATCAGTGGAAACCAGAGTGGAAACACTCTGATGAGACCGACTTTTGATTGCAGTACCACCCGGAACTTCGGCAGTCAAAACACATGTTCTTGCCACATCCACATGTTATGAGGACAGCAGCTTTCGACACCGCATGAGAAACTATGAAGGGACCCACGCGATGGCAACGGTCCTGCGACCTCTCAAGTTGTTCAAGCCGGTCGTTATTGTATATGTATAGCAAAGAGCCGCCCAGGGCATATATCGCCAAAGGACTGAGGGCACATAGCAATTGTGTTGCTGCTTTGTATGCAACAGCCATCGCTTTGGGTATAGCGCAAGGTGTGCAGGTGCTATGAGTCCATGCTCGCCTCCTTCGCTCGATACAACGTATTGCTATTGGTATGTGACGTGTACCTGTATTATAAACGGTTATTTAAGGCTTGGACTCGCGTCAGCGATGGGCCATTCACCGAGGTCCGTGCTGTCGCCGCGTGCATACTTCTGCACAAAGGCCTGCACGAGGCGCCCGATCGCTAAGATCTCCTCTTTCTCGCGCTCCGACACCTCGATCGTCTCGTCAGCGATCTGCTGGACGAGGTTAGCAAAGATGAGGGCGGACTCAGCGATGCTCCGGAACAGTTCTGCATTCTCTGCTGTCGTGGCCTGCGCCTGCGTTGACGCGGCGTCGAGACGCGGGCGGGGGACCCTGTTGCGCGGACTCGGAGTCTTCAGCTTGGTCATTTCAAATGGGACTTTGGCATTGGCAGGTGAACGTTGCAGCTGCAACCGACACAATTTATCCGGATAATAACAACATGGCGCTCTATCCGGATAAAAAGATGTCGAAATGCCACGAACTATCCGGAGAGTTGCTCTTTGTATCCGGATGACCAGCTTGCACGATTGGCTTGGTGCATAACCGTGCAGCACGATGGCGGCGACTGGATGGGACTGCTTCGACGACAGCAGCGACGACGAGGTCGAGCGCTTCGATGAAGAAGTGTGGGAGCTCACGCCCGAGCGCGTCGGCCGCCTCACCACAGAGCTCCTGCGCACCGTGCCAGCGCGCCGCAAGGCCCACGGCGTCGAGGGTAATGTGCTGCTGCCACCGGCGGCAACGCTGGCGCCGAACGCCGCTGCGCTTCGCCCGCGCCTCGAGGACGCCGGGTACATCTTCCCCGACGCATGTGCATCGGACGTGGTCGTGGACTTTGACGCGCTCACGGCCGACATGTCGTACGAGGCGACGCAAGCGGCGCTCACGTCGTTACATGCCAAGGTCCTTCCGGGCGGCGTCGTGATCATGCGCGTGCCGCCGATGCTCTCGGTCGACTTTGTCTCGGAGTACTGGGCGCTGCCCCGCGTCGCGTCCCTTTCGGGGCCGTTTGCCGACGCGGCAACACGCATCGTGCCGGGTCCGTGCCTTGTCGCGGTGCACACGCGGCAGGCAGATGTCAACCCGAAGCACTACCGTCTCGAACCCGCGACGGCCGCGAGCTTGGACCACGAGCGCAACTGGGTCGATCGTGTCACGCTCGGCCGGACCTTCTCGGAGCGGCAGCACGGTGTTTTGAGCGTCGAATCGCATGCCCGCGCCTGCAGTATTCTTCGCGACTATGGCGTTGTCGTGCTCCGGGGTCTCTTCAACCCCGAGACGGTCCGCAAGTATGGTGCTGCCGCGCTCTTGGACTTTGCCGACGTCGCAGATGCGCTCGCTGCCGACCACGACATGGACGTCTTCAACCCGGGCGAGAAGCCGCCGTCGCGCAACTTTGTCGAGTTTGCGACGCGCGAGGCGTTCCGGTGCGACCTCCGCCACACGCCGGCGCTCACGTCGCTGCGATCGACCGAGCCAACCGAGGACGCCCGACTCAGCGACGGCATCAACCCGCGGCACCCGGTGGTCGTGGCCATTCTCCAGGACGTTGCGCAGCCGGACGCAGGTCCGGTCCGCAATGCGGGCAACTATGGCATGTGGAACTTTAGCTTTGGCGGTCCCGGGTCGCGCCAGCGCCTTTTGCACGGCGAGATCGGCGCGATCGTGAGTACGCCCGGCTGCTTTGATCAAAAGATCCACGCAGACATCCCGCACCTCTTCAACACGCTCGACTTGCCGCCGCACCTGCTCCACGCCTTCTTGCCTGCGTGCGACGCCGGCGGCTACGACGCGGGCCAAACCGCCTTTGTTGTCGAGTCGCACTTTCTAGATACTTGTGCGCGCATGACCAACGAAGACGGCTCTGGTATTCCCGAGACGATCGCCAAGACGATCCGACCGCACGTGACGCCGGGCGACTTGGTGCTCTTCGACTGCCGCGTGCTGCACCTTGGCTTGTCCAACACGACGGCCCCGCTGGGTAATGCGACGTCTTCTGAGAGGTGCCATGGCTGATGATGGCTGCATAGGCTCCAAGGAAGGTGTGCGCCGACCGATCCTGTACGTCAACTGGCATTTGCCGTGGTTTGAAGACAAGAAGAACTGGGAGCGCGTCTCGCTCTTTGCGCCGCCAGCGACCAAGTAAACCGACTAATGGAGCAACTACTCGGTATAGAGTTGTACTTGCACGAGTCGAGTACAATGCGTCGTTGGATTACACGATCGGGGTCGTTGTAGCGCGATCAAGAGTAGTTAAAGTTATAAGTGTAGTCGGGTGCTCTGGTTTACTTGTGGTTGGCGAGGCCCGCCGCGAGGAGCGCAGCCACGTCGTCCGAGACGCCCTTCTTGGCGCCGGCCGCCGGGGCCGCGGCCTTGCCGTCCTTCGCCTTGTAGTCAAGCTTGCCCTGCTGCTTGCCGTCGCGGCGCTTGGCCGTCTCTTCCTTGGCAGCGGCAAAGGCGGCCAGGAACTTGGCTTCGTCAAAGTTCTCCTTGGGGTGGCGCGAGTCGTAGTGGATCTTGAGATCCGGGAACGACATGAACTCGTTCAAGCACACCTCTAAGTATAGAGGTCAGCATCTCGTCCCGTGCAGAGGAGGCTGCGTACCGCACTTGACGCCGACCTTTTGGCACTTGCGGAGCTCCTGGCCCGACGAGCCGCCGCCGGCAGCACCGGCGCGCTCCTTGGCGGCCTTGTGCTTCATGTTGATTTCCTTGGCCGTGTGCTTCTGCGCCTTAGCCTTGCCGCCCATCTTGCTGCTTCTTTCCTGAGATTATTGAGACTGATGACCCAGAGCCAATCTCGCCAATCGATGCGATCCGGATAATGCTCCAATCACGACCAATGAAACCGACATGGCTATTCCCACGCAATCTTCTCGGTCTTCTACTCGAGAAAATGGATGCGACAAAGAGACGCATATTCTCGATGAGGCTAGGATACCGTCCTTGTGATTTCGGCAACAAGGCTTCGATAACGTACATGTGGTGCAGAGCGCGTCGTTCCCACCGACGCACTGAATGCCACGTAAAGTTGTGTGTTTTTAATGCCTCACGAGCTATCGTGTTCTCTGCCATCGCGTGGCAGCCCAAAACACGATCGCGGCCGTCGCTGCACAGAAGAAGACATTGTTTCGCAGCCGACTGCCATCTCTCTTTGACAACGATACCTCGAATATCCAAATGCAATTCTAGCACGCACCATTTATGGACAATATTGTCCCATGGACGATCTTTCATGCGCACCACGTCAATGAAACCAACCTTAAATGCCATGAGCTGTCGCTCCAATCGCAGTCGACACGCCACTCTGAATGTGGAAACGGCAAGAGATTCGAGTACTACAGCGGGATAATCCTCGAGAGCAACAACTCGGTACCTCGCAGCACGGAACCGGCGACCGTCTTATAGCTCGTCTTAGTGCGAGACCACCTAGCAGCTCTTCACAATCCCATCTACCCCTCCACCCTCACCCCGAAGGCGCAAGAGCAAGCGCGCAGCAACCATTCCTCTCGAAACCCAACAACCTTTTTGCCATTGACACCATTTTTCATCCGATTTTTATTACCGAGCATCTGTCTACTTCCGGTGGGGAGTTAAGGAGTCCTTCCTAGTGCACCCCATGAGCTTGGAATGGATGGATCCTGCGTGGCGTCTGGTGCAAGTTGATGTATGGGACGCGCTGCATACTCCGAGACTAGTTGATGCGGTACTAATACCACTTTGCGCCAAATTCGTGTCCTTGTCGCAGCGCGATCCGACTCTTCTCCGAGAGCCTCCGAGAACTCCGGTGACGCTCTTGCACGATCAGCACGGCGTGGATCAGAGTTGTGTGATGCCTTCACGCGTAGCCGCGTAAACAAGCAACGTTGCAACGACCAGCTCGATGCTTTCTCGACAACTCGGAACGACCGCCGCCAGCTCCTACGAGTCAACACATCGCCGGGCCCTGTACTCTTGAGGAGCAGCCCAGTACATTATCCAGACCCCGTTCTTTGCGTGACCTGCTCCTTGCGAATAGACTCAAGTAAGCTTTCGTTCGAGACCGTCAAGACGTTGTTGAGTTTGCAGAGTTATGGACCATAACTCTGCAAACGTGGATTTTTCACCCTCTGATCCACGCCTGTCCACGATTAAGCCAAAACGGCTTCCACGTTTTTTTTACACTTGATTAAAGTATGCAAAGGTGCTCGGCGAGTTCAATTTCACCCGCGCGGGGTAATTAATTTCGCTATTTTCAAATCCGACCAATCCACGTTGTCTATCAATATTTAAAGCAAGTCGATTTGGGTTTGCGGCAATTTGAGTTTTTATTATTTTTCATTGGCAAACAACACGGCGGGTAGCTCAGCGACGACACCGTCGAAGGGCGCGAGGTCGGCTTCCTCACACCGCCGCCCTGGGAAATCCGCGCGCGCTCTGGTACACGCCTGGTACACGTAGCACGTCCAGCGAGTGGTCCAGAGCCTCGCATATCTTGCGCTACTGAGCGTCGCGATCCTCCTCGTCGCCAACGTCGTCGCCGCCGTGCTAGCGCTACTACGACTCGCTCTGGTACACTCACAACGTTGTAGCAAGTCCAGCGGATGGGTCAGCGCCTTGCGTATCTGGCGCTACTAAGCGCGCGATGCACCCCGTCGCCAGCGTCGTCGCCGCCGTAGTGTCACCACAACAACCTCTCGGTGGCTCGACTGGATGCTGCGGCGCGCGCTCTTGCGCTACCGCGTATGTCGGTGCTGGAGCTCAAAGGACGATCTGGCGCTTCCTCTGTGGCTCCATTGGCTTACATATGAGAGGAGTACACTTAGCCTTAAGGCCGAGCGGGCAGGCTCTTGCGGGCGCAGGATTCCGAAGCGACAGTACGCCCACGCCTCCAGCACCCTGAAGGGCGGTCGCATGCGCACTGGTCGGCCGGCCAGATATACATTTTTCAAGTTGTCAAGATCGATTACGTAATCCCTTGCTGCCAACCCTGCTGCCAACCCAGCCATACATTTTTCAAGTCGTCCGATCGATTACGTAATCTATTCACGGTTTTATCTTGCATTTTGTATTTGTAAAAAATCCACGCTGGAGCCATGGTGGAGCCACAAATAGAGCCATATTTCTCGAAAATATGGCAGCAAAAAAAATCCACGTTTGAGAGGCCTGGTTATGGTGTTGCAGTTCCCACTCCATCGTGAGAGCTGCCTTTACGTCACCATACTGAAACGCCGTGTTTTGCCGAGCAGATGGCGCGCCAAAGGCGCACCCGGCGACATTGCACATTTTTTAAACTCAAAATGGGCTTTGGCATGCGCATACCCGAGGCGGCTTGCGCGTACCCGCTCATCGCGCCCGAGTGCGCGACGCCGATCGCGACCGTGACACCGCGCTACCGCGTGCAGCAGCTCGCCTACCTCGGCGTCGGCTCTCTCCTCGTCCTCCTCGTCACGTTCAAGCTGGCGGTCCTCGTCACCAAGCGCGATCGCGGTACACAATTCTTGCATTTGGCCGACGTTGGCCTCATGGGCGCATGGGTTTTCCTTAGGACAAGCAACGCAACGAAATATCTTACTACTGCTTCTTTGCGCGGCCGTTCTCCTCACAACCCGCGCCATCGACCCACTCGGCCTCAACAACGTGCTGCCGTACGTGCTCGTTGTGGGCATGAGCGACGCGTGCACAGGCTGCCTCGAGACTGCCATGTACTCTAGTACCTCTTGCATTTGATTTACTATCGCATTGGCATGGGTAGCATCGTCATGCTCATGTTTTGGATCCGAGTCATGGAAGGCGACGTGCAAGAATACTCGCCGCGCTTGCTCTTTGTCGGCGGCCTCTCGATCGCCGCGGCGTGGGTCGCCAACGTCGTCTTCCCCATCCTGCAATGGTACATATCTCGAATAATGATGGAAACATTGTCCTTAACTTCTGTGCGCAGGTACTATTGGGACACGGGTGACCACGTCATTGAGCGCATCAAGATCTCGACCGCGCTGGTCATTACGCTGCTCATGACGACGACTGTGAGCATCTATGGCTGGAAGATCCACCGCCGCCTCGAAGACATTCTTGACGCTGCGAGCCTCGAAGCGCCCATCGACGACTACGACTATGTGCTCTCGACCAAGAACGTGCTCGGCCAAGGGGCGTCACCGACATTGCCGTTACCGCTGCCGCCACCGTCGGTCCGGTCGTACCATGGCGCGTGCTGTCTTCGCTCCAAGATGCTTGAGACACTCGTGGGTCTGCAACTCGTTGCCGGATTTATCTTTATCCTCCAGGTATACAATTATTTGTGGTGTAGATTGTTACCCTACCCTCGACGACTAGATTTATACTATCTTTCGCGTCGAGACCCAAAACGACTCGGTTGTCACGTGCGTCATGACGGGCTGCACACACGCCCACATGAACGTACCCATCATGCCGATCGCGCAGGTTTGACGTCCTCTTTCTGCATTCTTCTCCCCTCTCATGACGATGGAACGTAGGTGCTCGGTATTTGCGCCGGCGTGTGGATCTTCCGCCACGTCTAGTCGCGTTCTTGAATGTTGTCTGTTGATTGTGTCAACTGTTAATTAAGTTATCGTATTTGTCATGTTGCACAGCTTGCATCGAGTGAAAGGTAGCAGCTACGCACGCCAGGTGCCTTTATACTGTACTATACTTATGCTAAAGATGCTTTATAGTCCACGGCCGCAAAAACCGACTTTGAAAATCGCACCGGGTTCCTTTCTTGGTTGGGCCAAAGATCTTCGAGAGAGAACGACGCAGGGCCCGGATAATATCGACGCCCGCTTATTGCGACCTCGCACTGAGCTGCAGTGCGTGCTTTCGAAGATCGTCCAGCCGAAGGATGTCGCGACCGGGGCAGAAATGGTGCTTGACGTGCACGAGCCACGCCCGCTCGGTCGGAAACGAGAGAAAGCACACGCGGCAGTAGCTCACAGGCGGGTTCCCCGACCGATAAGCGGTTCGTGCGTCAAATTTGGCCTTGTCCATGAGCCGCAGAAGCACGCGCTTCGATGCCATGGCCTTGGTCGTTGCTAAGAGCCGATATCGTATGAATACGGATGGTGAATGAGGATAAGATACCGCCCGTGAGGTGCCCGACAAGGGCCTGGCCCCGCAGCTTCATCTTGAGCAGCGCCATGTGCGTCTTGCTCTGGCTACGCACCGCGTCGGCTTTCCACCACGCGACAAACTCGGAAAATTCAATGCCGCCGCTGCCATCCGTATCCATGTCTACGTTCCAGTTAAACCACACTTCCGGAGCATCTCTGGCGGTAGCTGCACCTGCAAAGCCTTGGCGCAAGTCCTTCTCGGGCATCGGTACACCAAGCTCGGACGTCAAGAGCCGCAGCTCGTCCAGATCAATCGTACCTACGCAGAACAGTACATGCATGCAGCACCTGCGGCAACGACAAAGCGGTTTGCACCCGAGCCGTCCGTGTCGAACGCGGCGAAAGCGGCTTCCATCGCTTGCGTCTCCAGGTCGACCTTGTGACGCGGCTTGAGCTTCTTCTCTCGCTTCATTGCGTCGCGCTCGCGCTTAATTTCTGCGTAGCCGGCTGGCGTCTGGAGCAAAGCTAGTGTCTCGGTCCGCGCCTGCATTGCTGACTTGAGTCAAGATCGTCATACCGACCATCGTACCACTCGTTGCGCGGCCTCCATGACGGCAATCTCGCTCGCGAGGCGACTGGCTTCGCGCCGAATCGCGCGGTGGCGGTAGCACCAGCGTCGACATGCAGTGTAAATGCGCAGCAAGCACTTGGCCTTCTGCACCTAGTGCACTATTGTCAGCAGTCATGGACGACTATGCATCCTACCTTGTACGTAGCGTAGCGTTGGATGAGCTTTTGGATCGCGGTCGCGGCGCGATGGCGGCGCTGCGTGTGGTGTCTGCGCTGGCGGAGGCAGTAGCGGCGCCAGCAGCACTGAATTCCAGTAGCCGCCTTGTTCTTACTCGCGAGCCGCGCCGATGCGCGCGACTGGATCACGCGCGCCGATCGATTCGTGGTCGCCACCCGGACCCGGGCTTGACGCTACCGTAATTAGCGTTGAAGAGCAGCGTTCATTCGAGATGCATACATGGCGGCGAAGTCGGAACCGACAAAACAGCTGCAGCAGCAAGAGACTCGAAAAGAGCCGATCGAGATGGGTCCGCAGCGACCGACGAAAGCAGACGCAGCGATACATGCGGGCCACCTACATGCTGTCTTCATGCAACCAGCGAGGAGATTGCTGCGAATGACCTTGGACGACGCCGCGTGCGCATCGGTCGAATATGGAAACAAGAGCTCGGGGGCCCCCGTGCTCACGTGTACTGGGATGGGCAGCGTCACTGCTGTCGCTAAGCTCAGCGACGTCGTCGGGTGTTGCATCTGCATGGCCGTGTGAGCTTTTGCAATTGCAGAAGGGCGGAGCTTACTTGTTCGGCTCGGTGGACAAAGACGGAGGCATCCAGCGGCCGCGCCAAGAGCGACCGCACTTCGTCCTGCCAAATCGACCCCCGCGCACGCTGGACCAAGTGCGCTTCTAGTCGTGCGCGCATCTGCACATCCATATTGGTCACTCGCAATTGCCTGTACGGTACCTCGATCGAGAGCAGAGCAGGTCGCAAGCGTGTCACGAGGGTCGTTGTCGTCGCCTCGACGCGAAATGGCTCAGCCTTTGCAAGCCGCTGGAGCGCGGTATGCACGTGTCGCTCAGGGACGTGGCGGCTCTTTGAACACATGACAACGCGATCTTCCGGTGCGAGCGGCGCCAGCGCCGTGTACTTGGCAGCGCTCCTGCCGTAAATGAGCTCGATCGTACTCTGAAGCTGCTCCAAACGCTCGTCGTGCGTCGTCTCTTGCCAGCGCAGAAAGAGGTCTGCGTCGCTAAAGGCAGCCGTTGCCTCGGCGTGCCAGCGCAGCGCCACCTTCTTGGGCACCAGCGGCTGCAGAGGCGTCGGTACCTTGCGCTTCCGGGGCCTACGCCGCAGTTGGAGGACGATCGCTATAATTGAGAGAGCGTACTTGCGCGGTGGCGCGTACAGGGCCTCGGCGCGGTGCATTTTTGCCGCGACGGTTTCAGCTATTTTATGGCGCCTGCCTTTCTCATACGGCGGCGCCCTCGTAGTGTGCCACGTCACGAGAGCAAAGGTCCTAATATGCTGACTGCACTGACTGCTAGGAAGTTTAGAGGCTCTTGAATATGCGATCACATCATACTGATATCCTTGGCTGAGGGGCTTACGTCCTAGTATGTCAGAGGGACGCTCTTGTGCCTCTGACCGCATTGGCTGTCTACACTTGGTGGGCAGACTTGCCAAAAAAGTTGAGCGTCGGCTTGGTCCCAGCCGTCTTTGGGATACTGAACGAGATAAGGAGCTCTGCCGCCATGAAGTCGTACGGCAAAACGAACGCAGTGTCGCTCACCGCAATGAGGTCGACGCTGATGGCGCCATAGGCAAAGTGCAAACTGCCGTTCCGCAGCGAGATGACAATCGGGCCGAAGTAGTCGGGCGACGTATCCAAAAAGTACGTGCCAGGAAGGACGCTGGAGCTGGGCACTGTGATGTTGCTCTTGGGCCACGGCTGCTGCTCAAAATAGTGCGGGTCACAGGGCGTGTCGGGGATCTTGTCGGCGACCGCCAGCCCGCGTTCAAAGACTTCGGTCAATGTTTCCTTGGGAATGCCGAGGAAGAGACCGAGGACGTACGAGCGCATGAGCTCGAGGAGCGTCGCGTCATGCGCCTTCCCGCCCATGGACGCCTTGTTGGCGAGCAAAACGAGCCCGAGTCCTCGCCCTGGTACGTATGCTGTCGTGCAAGTGCCCGCTTTGTTGCCGCCGTTCTTCATGGCAAAGCGCTCGCCAAAGAAGAGATCACCAATAGGACCGACACCGTACCCGGTCATAATCCCGGCGCCATCCAAACTCGTCGCGTCGAGACCAAGCGTGGCCATGAACAAACTCGGGTCCGGTAGCTCAATGATACCGTGACCAGAGTAGATGGCCCCCAGCGACTGCGGCGACTTGAACGTCGCCCCGCCCTTGGCCAAGACGTGCTTGAGAAACGCTGCCATGTCGTTGGCCGACGAGACAATCGAGCCCGCTGCAAGCATTGGGACGGTGGGGCTGAGCTTGGCCATGCTCGATGACGTCAGCGCGAATGGGCCAATGACGACGTCCTTGCACGTGTTGTGTCCATGCGTCAAGCGCGACGCTGGCGCATCTGCGGGTGTGCCATACGTCGACGTCATGCCCCACGGCTGCCAGATCTCGGTCGCCATATACTTGCTCCAGTGAGTGCCCGAGACAGCCCCAATCACTTGACCGAGGACGTTGAAGCCGACGTTCGAGTACGCAAAGCCCGGGCGAACCTTCCGCGTCGTGTTCATGTACCGAAGCCGCTCGATGCCTTCGCGCTCCGAGGCAATGACACCCAGCATTTGCAGCTCGTCGCCCTCGTGGTCACCAAGGACCGAGTTGTGCGACGCGAGATCTCCGATCGTCGTGGCTTCTTCAGCGTACTTGTCTTGAAGCGTGAACCACGGGAGGTGCTGCTTGACAGTGTCGTGCCACTGGAGCTTGCCGTCGTCGACGAGCTTGGCGAGTGCGATGGCCACGTGCGTCTTGGACACGGACCCGAGCTCAAAGAGCGTGTCAGCGTCGACGGGATCGTTGGTCACACCAAACTGCTTGGTGCCAAAGCCGCGGGCAATCAACGTCTATTCACAAGACGTCAGAGACAATAGTACAATGGAAGACGAACGTACTTGGTTGCCTTGCACGACGGCGAGGGCGAGACCCGGGTAGTGGAAGCGTTGGCGCTGGGCTTCAATGAACGCAATGGCGTCGTTCACGTTGCTCTCCTGCAGGCTACTTGGGCTGGACACCATGGACACGAGCTCCGGTCCGAACGGGAGACCGAGAAAGGTCGCGTACGCACTAATGAGTCGCTGCATCGCTGTCGAGCAAACTGCAAAATGAGCCGACGATCGGAATGGACAAAAGTAGAGTGTAGGCTTCAAATGATGGTCGTATACCTGGATTGGCCAACTTGGAGTAGCCTCACGTCCACGAAAGCGTCAACGCCGGAAGGCTGGAGTACAGCTCCTTGCAGTTATGCTGTCAAGAGCCCCGCATATCTCGGATCCTGCCTCTGCCATAGCGCTAAATGGGCGACCGGACGCCGTCGTGACCACTCGTTGCGCGCGATCGTCATCGGTTCGGTTCCTTCAACAATTTCGGACTGGCGTAACCAGACACAGCACCGACTGTGTCTGGTTGTCAAGGCGTATCAGACTTGTAAAATCGGGTTGGTGCGTCCAAACCCAAAGTGATGCAACGGAAGCTACAATTAATGTCCTTATAACACATATACGTCTCGGTCGCAGCGTCTGGGTATCCCCGCCATGCAGAGAAGCTACACTTATTATGGCCCTAAGAACAGCGAACTACCATTTGGATTGCAAATGTAGCCTGTGACGAATCAGGCCGAATCCACGTCGTGATCACAAAGACTCCAAGAGCGTGCGACCACTCGAAAGCTTTTCACGCTTGCTGGTCGTGTAGACCACGGATGTTACACTCTTTGCTCTGTCGGCAGGCAATTTCAAGTATGAATTAGTGGGCGGATGCTCCGCTTAGAGGCTACTCCGAATGGTCGCTCGCTACCATGAATAAATGGTGTGCGCCGAGGGCAGCCTTAACGCGACTTCGAGACTTTTTCGCGCTCCTCCTACCCTCCTACCCATGCATCCTACCCCAAGCCATCGGCGGGAAAACGTTGCTTCTTCAAGATCGCCACAGAGCCAATCATTATCCACTGGTTGCAGACAGAGGCTCTTGAGACCCGGACGGTGCGTCTCATGATATTCACGAGTGTGGCGAGTTTCGACGTCGCTCCGCAGGGCCTATAAAGGCCACACGCGACTGCAAACCAAAAGAGGCGCATCGCCACGTCCCACGGCGACCCGAGAAGCAGTCGCATCGCCGACCGGGTTGCAGCTGTGGGCCCCGGAAACACGAGGTACTCGACGCGCACGCTGCGTTGGTTGGTCAGCATTTAGTACTTGGCGTCGCTCTTGGCAGCGTCGTGCATGGCGGTAAGGTTGCGAGCGGCAAAAAACTCGAAAAGAGGGGATCGAGACGCACTGATACCTGCGTGTAACATGAGGGAGCCGACTACACCGGCGTGTTTGACTGATAACACCAACCATTCTTTAGGCCCTTGGAGTAGTTACAGTGAAAAGTTTCTTGACATCACGAGCCATCAACTTTGATGCCTGGAAACATCCAAAGCCCGAACCGTTGAGTACACCTCGGAGAGGTTTGGCTGGCCCTACCACCAAGTACTCTACGAAGGATCATCCTGGTATTTGTTCTTTCTTAGGCTAGTATCAGCGCAACAATGCGCAAAGCACGTCCTCCAACATCGTGGCCACAGTCAGTGGCCGAGTCGAAGCAACGCGTGCTCGTCAACCTCTTTGGTGGGTTTATTGCACCGATTGTTCAGTGGCAACGTTGGAATAAGAATATAAGAACTTGCTACTCCTGCCCGCTGCCTGTCCTTGCGGCTTCACTCGTATGTCCCTTTGGTACCACAACGAGTGACAATATATTACGAATATGAATATGAAACCCGAGCAATCCTCCGATCTGATGGCAGTGTGGACCCTGTACACTGCGCATCACCCACCCGGCACAGGACAGCTGCAGAGGACATGTGAGCTCGAACCAGACGTCCTGCTTTGGCATGCAATGTAGATCGACCGCAACCAAACGCAAGTTTGGTTAGGCAATCGTTGAAGGACCCGACAGGCGACTACTGACAGGCGACGCCTCTGCGACAATATTACCGCTTTCACACAAACGTCGTGGACAATGTATACATCCGCAAACAGCGTGGCTCTTGGTAGAGGCCCATGCATAGCCGTCTTCTTCTAATAGTACCCTCGTAGCTCCTAACCCGCGACAAGTAATATCGAACATCGGGGGTAGCTGCAGTGGTGTGCAAGGTGCTGTGCGACTGCGATGAGTAGCCAAATGCCCATCATTCGTAGCATACATTCTAAACGTGTCGTGCGAGAGGCTGCTCACACTTCATTTTTCATTTTGCAGTTTGCTCGACAGCGATGCAGCGACTCATTAGTGCGTACGCGACCTTTCTCGGTCTCCCGTTCGGACCGGAGCTCGTGTCAATGGTGTCAAGCCCAAGTAGCCTGCAGGAGAGCAACGTGAACGACGCCATTGCGTTCATTGAAGCCCAGCGCCAACGCTTCCACTACCCGGGTCTCGCCCTCGCCGTCGTGCAAGGCAACCAAGTACGTTCGTCTTCCATTGTACTATTGTCTCTGACGCCTTGTGAATAGACGTTGATTGCCCGCGGCTTTGGCACCAAGCAGTTTGGTGTGAC